CACACAGGCACGCACGCAGGCACGCACACAGGCACGCACGCAGGCACGCACACAGGCACGCACGCAGGCACGCACACAGGCACGCACGCAGGCACGCACACAGGCACGCACGCAGGCACGCACACAGGCACGCACGCAGGCACGCACACAGGCACGCACGCAGGCACGCACACAGGCACGCACGCAGGCACGCACACAGGCACGCACGCAGGCACGCACACAGGCACGCACGCAGGCACGCACACAGGCACGCACGCAGGCACGCACACAGGCACGCACGCAGGCACGCACACAGGCACGCACGCAGGCACGCACACAGGCACGCACGCAGGCACGCACACAGGCACGCACGCAGGCACGCACACAGGCACGCACGCAGGCACGCACACAGGCACGCACGCAGGCACGCACACAGGCACGCACGCAGGCACGCACACAGGCACGCACGCAGGCACGCACACAGGCACGCACGCAGGCACGCACACAGGCACGCACGCAGGCACGCACACAGGCACGCACGCAGGCACGCACACAGGCACGCACGCAGGCACGCACACAGGCACGCACGCAGGCACGCACACAGGCACGCACGCAGGCACGCACACAGGCACGCACGCAGGCACGCACACAGGCACGCACGCAGGCACGCACACTATTTGGTAGGCAGAGACCATTTCCCTGAACAGATGCCTTTCAGAGCTTGGATTCTGGTCAGGATTAGAACTGTATGCTCAAATCCATCTTGATTACCAAATGCAAGTATTACCAATGCATTAAAATGGCACCTGTGTTGTTTCATGTTTCTATAAAAACAAATATCCACCATGCATTTCTGTCAAAACCAAACTTGCCAACCTCACTGCTATAATGTCTATAATAAAAATAACGCCATCGGTATTGATAGTATTGGAAAAAAGAAGGTTTTCCCGCAAATTCAAGGAAAAGTGAAATCAGGTAAGGTCACAAGGTTTACTAATTGACTCCTTTGTGGCTAAGCACTAGCAGAGCCATATATGTGCTGAGACATTTCACAAAAATTCTAAAATGAGACTAGCATTTTCCTGGCGATACTGGGTTAATGGTCTTGTGACCGATATCACAGCATATTAATTGTGAGAAAAATTCCATTCTTGAGTGCCATTGCATGTCTTCTAAACATTCACAATAGTTACCCAGATTATACTACCATAGAAGAGAACCAAACTGATACTTGGTGATATATGAATTGATTTGACAAATGAGAGATAACAATGTATATTGGACGTTAAAAAGAAAATTAGCATCCTTCTGTTAAACAAAGCTTGTAGACTTCTCTCATAATTTACCAATAAACAAGGAACCAGATCATTGCTTGAGCTTTAAATACAGAGGCCTGATGTGGTCCTATTCAGTAAAATTAATACTGTAAATACTGTAAATACTGTAAATTTGACTTGGATTTATTTTAGAGGACTGAAAAGAAAAAGACAAAGAAAATAACTGCCTAAACTGAAATGTCTCACACAGCAAACCATGCGGAAAATATTGTGGAGATTGTTATTTCTTCTATGTTAACATATCTCCACTCTATTATAGCACAGATTCCTCACAACACTCAGATATTACTTAATTTTTGCCTTTGCTGGTATCTTATCTAAAAAAAACAACTTGAATTTGTAAGTTCTCAGCTGCAGCACTGCTTTACACATTAACATATATCACAGACCTTGGACACAAAGTACAAACCAATAAAATAAATTCAACCCAAAAATATGTACATTGATTCCTGAATTCCCTTCTGATAAAAAGACAAACTTACAAAAGACTTCTTTTCCTATCACATTTCCCACATATTTATGAACTAATTAAATACCTTTCTAAGACATATGAATTTCCTCTGTATGTAACTATAGATACCGCAAGGTGTGACTTAAATTACTACCCCTTTAAAACTGACCTGGAAAAAAAAATAAAACCACTCCCATATGGGTTAGTTCAGCTTTAATCTGTGGCGACAAAGATCAAATTCCATGTAAACTCGAACCCTGAAGAAGGTTTACTAAGGGAAATACACATAAAAAATGAAAAATAAATGAAAACAACTACACATCACAATGCCGTATGCCCATTGGCAGTGCCACTTGGCACACCGGTAAAGCTAGATAACAAGAAATCAATAATAATTAACAATAATGCAAAAAATAAAGAAAAAAAATCACTCACCTCTCCTATATCCATATTTGTACTAGTAAAATTCGTATTTAAATCCCTTCCCTCAAAGCAATGCAGGTGTTCATGAAGACCTCTGCTCCTCGCCACGTGCCAGCGCCTCTCTACATGGCTTGTTATTTTGTGTATTAGCAAAAACACCCAAATGATACAAAAGCTCTTGCCACGTGTTTATCTAAAGAATCAGTAAATAGTATTCGAACTTATTCCAACACTCTCTCAATAGCTATTTGTCCATCAATAAAGTTCTCACACAGCAGACGACGCCCATGGTATGTCTGCGTGGGCGGCA